CAAGCCTGGTGGTGTTCATTCAGATGCTGTCTTTCTGACAGACCTGTTCTTCACCTGAGGACGGCTGCTTGCGTTGTGGCCGAAACGTCGTGAGAATTTATTTTATTATGTTTTATTTTATTATTTTATTATTTCCCTTCTATGTGACTTTACCGAAAGAACCAAGAAGAAGAAGAGCTGTATAGCTCGGTGGGCCTTACCTGGTAAAATAGTAAAAAGAAAATGTTATAGATGGAGCAATAACAGCAGCCATCTGCTGGGAATTAGATGGATCTTGGTATTGCAGGGCCATGAGGAATGACAACATTATGGGGAAGCCTTCATACAACAGTGGATGAGACCAGAGCTGATGACGATGAGAGCCCACTGAGATTAAAGTGTCTTGTTGGGGAGACATGGGGATACGATTTAAATAAACTGAAAGAGCACAATATTAACTTTAACAAATAACAAAATTTTATTCAAACCAGAGAGATAATCGGACATGGAATAAGTATTCTCTAGTACGAAACGGCAAACCGATAATCATTCAGCTCAGCTTGTTGTACTATTACATTGTAGCAATAACAAACTGCTTAAACGTAATCATTCATGTCGAGTGCAATGAGGGCACTCCCATTAAACGAGTCTTCCATCTGGCGTGTGTCCTGTTCACGCAGAAAAAAATCTCCTCTTTCTGACAATTCCTCATAGCAATTTTACCCATCCATAATACGTGTTTTTTTGTTTGTGTCGGGTGGTGGTGGGTTTAACGACACATTTGTATATTTACGTGATCTAACCTAAAAAAAACCTGCATTATGCATATTGGCCGCGAAAGTCTACTACGTGTTATAACCAAATCTACCCATTATGTACCATGCCACAATCGAGGTTGCACATCGCCTCGGCTTCAACAATCATCACGCGAAAAGCCAAAACAATTCCCATTTCTAAAAGGTCGGCGTTTTTTGGCGTACCTAAAACGCACATATTTGACATCCGCGTACGATAATCCTAAAAAATCTGTCAAGTAATCTCTTCTAAAGCCCGTAATTTAATAACGGGAATGCCCCCTGGTCATGTGCCCTATTATTTTCCAGCTAGCTGTGTGGTTGCTTGTCCTTGCTTAAACTTCAAGAGCTAGTTTTATTTATTTATATAAAAGGGTATAGTGATTTATAAAAAAAAAATGGTTTATTTGTTTTGGAATGACCTTCATAGCCAGCCCATCCAATCTGAACAAGTGGAGAAAATTGATTAGGTTTTTGCAGCCACAGCTAATGTATAGACGCACCTGGGGTTCGTAGCATGACAATGTAATAATACGGTACTGTATATATTTACAGACTATGTCCAGCCCTTTAAGTGTTTCTCTCATCAGCAGTCAGGCTTGCTTGTACGAGTAATGGTGAACTGCCAGCTTCTTGGTTCTTTCGGTAAAGTCACGTAGAATGGAAATAATAAAATAATAAAAATAAATCATAATAAAATAATTCTCACGTTCTTTCGGTAAAGTCACGTAGAATGGAAATAATAAAAGAATAAAAATAAAGCATAATAAAATAATTATTTTATTATGTTTTATTTTTATTATTTTATTAGAAAATAATTATTTTATTATGTTTTATTTTTATTATTTTATTATTTCCATTCTACGTGACTTTACCGAAAGAACCAAGAAGATTAATCCCTGCAGTCACGAAAGCTTTCAATAGAAAATTGAACTGCCAGCTGCTCATAAGCAAGGACTGGCTTCGATATTCAGTGTCTCATCAGCAAAGCCAGGCTTGCTCGAACCAATGCTGGTGAACTACAGGATGTTAATCGGCAAGGTGCCGTCCCTCTCTGATAGACATGGGCCGGAGTTCGACGCGCAACAATAATGATTTTCGATTTAAAGCTTTCGTGACTGCAGGGGTTCATATTCTTGGTTCTTTCGGTAAAGTCACGTAGAAAGGAAATAATAAAATAATATAAACATAAAACAATAAAAAATTCTCACGACGTTTCGACTGCAACACAAGCAATCATCATCAATAATGATATACAGCACTGAATTATGACGATTATTATCACAACGCAGAAAAGTAACGCAGAAGAGTAACGCAGAAAAGTACTTGAATACACGGCATAGAGTGCATGAAAGAAATATGCAGCCGTAACAGAGTTAATATTAATAGGTACCTAGTACGGCCTAACATTACATACAATAGAGCAATTTAATTACCGCATGCTCCACATTGTGACGCCCTCGAAAAAATGACGAAACCCAAATTGTTACACGGTGTTAATACTGCACGTGCAGTTCGGGGCCATCCATTTAGTAGGTACGCAAAAAATCTGTCAAAACATGCCCCCCCCCCCTCTCCCTCCCTTGACGCACCCCCTCCCAATCTTATAGAATGGCCGATATTTAAACTACGCAGAAACGATCAAGGATTAGTAAAATTAACGTGTTTAAGCAAACAGATAGTCCACCGCCGGACTATCTAACTCATGTGAAGGCCAATGTAGACAAATTATTATCAAGGCTTCACCCCCCCCCTCCCCCCATAACATAATTCAGGACTTACTTAATGATGATAGCGACACAAAAAAATTAAAGAGATCCCACCAATTGCCTCGTTACAAAAACAAACAGTATCATCACTGATTCAGCTTCATTAATTGAACAGACCAAACGGGTTTTCTTAAAACCTTCTGCTTCTTGACTACCCAGACTATATGGCTTACCAAAAATCCATAAAGAAGGTACCACCCCTTCCCCACCTACAAACTGGCCAGATAGCTGTATGAGACCTCGCAGCCATTCACTGGTAAGACCACCTCTTCTGGTCTTAACTCAGCTCACCTGGTATCGTCAATTAAAGACATCTCACTGTCCCCAGGTGATTTGCTCGTCAGCTTCGATGTAGATTATTTGTTCACCAAAGTTCCTGTGCCCGATACCATTGAAATAATTGAAGATTTGGTCCAACAAGGATTGAATGCCTGATGTACCAGCCCTGGTGAGACACTGCCTCACCAATAGATACTTCACCTGGAATGGAACATTCTACAAACAAACTGAAGGCAACCCCAATGGGTTCTACCTTATCTCCGGTTGTGGCCAACATTTTCATGGAAAATTTTGAGACGGACGCCATCCAAGCATCCACTCTACGCCCGTTCTTGTGGAAGAGATACGTGGATTACACGTTTGTCACCTGGCCACATGGAGGACCGGCTCTGAAACAATTCCTCAACCACATCCAATTCCATATACCCATCCAATTCCATACACCCAGCTATCAAATTCACCATGGAGGTAGAAAAGAATGGCATGCTACCTTTCTGGGATGTCTTAATCAAAAAGAGACCAGATTGCTCATTGAGCCACTCTGTCTACAGGAAAGTAACCCATACCGACGCCTACCTAAAACCTGATTCCCATCACCATCCATCCCAGAAGAATTCCCTCATCAAAACGCTACACCACTACACCATACGAGCTCAATGTATCTCCGACCATGAACACCTGAACAGTGAACTTAAACACGTACACCAGGCTCTCAAGGCGAAGGGATATTCTGACTACACAATCCGCAAAACCATCACCCCAACCGTGAGGAAGGAGCCATCTGAAGATTCAATCAAAACCATCACCCTACCATACATTGCAGACAAACACAAGATCCAGGTCCGATTTAACACAGTGCATACAATTCGTGATCTGATCCCATCTGTGAACGACAAGATTGCTGACATGCAATATCCCGGCGTCTACAAACTAAGCTGTATCTGCAGCAGCAGTTACAGTGAGGAAACCAAACGACATGTCTCGGACCGTGTTCGTGAACATAAGGCAGATCTAAAACACGGCAGGACCAATACTTCTGCTGTGGCTGATCATTACTTTAATGCGGCTGGCTCACATGAAATGTATTTCTCTAAGATGATGGTACTTTGCAAGCCGACTGGCTATCAACAAAGATTAGTTCACGAAGCCATCAATATATGCAGACACAGACACAATTTTAACCGAGACGACGGTTTTGAACTCAGCAATCATTGGAAAGATGTCATCAACCACTTTGGGTCATGATTTGATTTGTGTTTTCTTGTCAACCTCTACTGTCAGCAGTGTGTATGTGTGTAGCGAGGTGCAATGCCCCCCCATCTCTACCCCCCCCTCTCTCCCCCTACCCCCCCTACCCCCCCTCTCTCCCCCCCATCTCTACCCCCTTCCTCCCCCCATTGTCTACTCCTACATTACCATTGGCTCACTGGCTGCCCCGCCCCCTTCCTCCCCCCATTGTCTACTCCTACATTGCCATTGGCTGACTGGCTGCCCCGCCCCCTTTCCTCCCCCATTGTCTACTCCTACATTGCCATTGGCTCACTGGCTGCCCCGCCCCCTTTCCTCCCCCATTGTCTACTCCTACATTGCCATTGGCTCACTGACTGACCCATGCTGTTTTCGCCACACAGCTCTCCTCCCAGCTCTCATCCCCTGCCCACTCATTTTGGAAACCCTTAGAAGCAGTTGCACTTGGAGGCTTGCCCCCTCTTCTCTCTCCGCCTGATGAAGACCGCTTGTGTTGCCATCGAAACGTCGTGGGTTTTTTGCTTTTATTTTTTTCAATTTAAATTTTTTATTGAAATTTATTTTATTATTTTTATTTCAATTTTCTATCTACGTGACTTTTACCGAAAGAACCAAGAATTAGAATTCCTACAGTCACGAAAGTTTTAAGTCAAAATTTAAGCACGAGACAGTGTTCATATTCCTTCTGCAGTACCGATGGAAATTCCCACATTCTCATGGCAGTACTTTTTTAAAATGAGTTAATTGTGCACGCGGCCATGAGAAATACGTCGTGACGTGTGCCACGTTGCATTGCTGCGATGACGTCATAATCAAAAGTGTAAAATTACGTCATCGTTTAGTTGCGTTGTATACGTCATTGTCTCACGTCCAATCGACTTACTTTGCGTGATGTCATAGCCAGCTGACCAATCAGCGCGCAGCGCGTTTGGTTTGCCGCCAATTTTTTTGTTTATCTCCGAACTTTAACAAAAAATACGGTGAATCATTTTTGCTGCTTTCTATTGTCTTAACCTCAAGGTACATGAGTGCGATTTAGATTTTTGTATTCATAACTACCTTAAGAAGGTGATTTGAAAGGCTAAAATGTGATGTATGTTATCTATAGTTACAAATTTACCTCAGGGTCTGGTTGGTGCAGAAAATGTTTAAAGGGGACTATCCCCGTAACTTGTAATAAATGTTGACAGGAATTAATATTGTTTGTGTTTTATGCAGCTTGTTACTAGTTTGTTTATGACATCGCATTGAATTGATCATGGCTGAAGATGATTACTAGCAAATACAATACAGTATATATATATGAACCATTTCTGACTTACGGAATATGAAATTGAGTCTTGTTTATAGTTGGTGCAATTTTGATAATTATTCTAATTATTATAATCAGTCATTAATTGTATAAAAAGTAAGTAAATGTGAAAAGAAACGAGTCCGTTAATTAACTGCTTCTTGATCAAAGTCTCGCCATGTATTAGTCATGAATAATATATTGTTAAATCTTTATTTTAGTTTTTTGTTTATAAACAAACACTAGCCAATAATGCTGTATTCACAGAAAAAAATTGTTACTAGTAATCATCTTCAGCCATGATCAATCCACTGAGATTTAATAAACTATTATGAGGCTGCATAAAACACATACAATATTAATAAATAAAAATAAATACATTTTCATAAATGAAAATAAAAAAAATATTTTATTTTTACCTACGTGACTTTACCGAAAAAACCTAAGAGTATGAATCCCTGCAGTCACGAAAGCTTCAAATCTAGAATCATATATAAACTGGCTGTGGTTTATGAACAGGAGATAAGAACTGCCCGTACATACACTCTTTTCAGCGTTAAGTAACTGGCGTTTTCAGTTTTTTTTAATTCTGTGGATCAGAACTCTCAGCCTATGCACAATAAACTAATAAGTTGGATTATAAGCAGTCACTCAAAGGGTAAATTAAGTGTCGTAAATGTAGCAAGTTACCTGAGGCCACCAATGACGACAAAAGTATTATAATTGTAATACAGTACAAAAACAATGTCAATTTGTGTAACATTTCATTTCAGTTTCAGTTTAATTTATTAGGATTTACCCTGTGAGCCATTCGGCTCTTGATTTGGGTTCAACCGCAACAAACTATAAAATTACAAGAAACACTTAAAATTAATTGTACACAAATCTGAACATCACATACGTAAACAATACAATCCTACAGAAAAAGTACAACCCGCCCATGCTGCGTACAGAAAGTGCAAAAAAATTCCATTTCGATGTTTGATCCCAATAACAATCAATACAATACAGATATAAAATTTAAGTATGAATCTATACTAAATAAAAAAAATCGGGCCAAACCAAGCCCCTCTAAAACTTACTAAACAATGCTATATAAACAACGTAACAGTTTTCCCAACAAATGTGATTAAAAGTTTACAATAGCGACACACGCAAAACACACATCACTAAACCTTTCCAAGCTGTAAAATATATACAGTACAGCCAATTGGACGAGTAGTAAATGAGCCAAAGCACTAATTTCTTCACACAAGGGGATGCTTTGAAGGAAAGACTTTGAGTATATCACTTCCCAGGTCTGCATCAATAACAACGTCAGTTGTCTGGGGAATTCATTGTAAGCGAAAGATCCTGCTTTGTTTTAAATTGCCAATATCACGTGTTACGTAAAATAAGCAAGCCACGGCAATGTTTCTCACAAGATGAAAATGTTTCAAATTAATTAAGCACCGCTTTGCTCATGTTTATAAATTATTTTATCACTTTTGCAACCACGAAAATATGATAGTGCGTTTAATAATCAAACGAAAGAACAGCATGTGCAGTGTACATATTATATGTATGATAATTACAGATCTAGTTTTGGGTGCATTGTACTTTTCTCTTGTTTAATGCTCTTGCCGTTTAATTTGACTTAGAAATTCAATTCTTGTAAAAAATGGTTTAATTTATTACCTTTTTCTGAAATAAAATGTCATTCAACACATTCATCAGATATAAATGAAATGTCTTAATTGGTAAGGCATTTATTTTTTACATTTTATGTCTGGGATATGATACAAACATATTACCCTAATGATAAGTACTGTATGCCATTATAATTCCATGTACTTTTTTTAATCATGTTTTGAATAACTTAAATCTATAAATAATATCACTTTTGCACATAGGCAAAGACAACGATTCTCCATATTGCCTCTAGCAGACTCTTAGGGCAAGAGCTGTTAGCGTATGAAGGTGCTCGCTAACAATGACTTTCCATTCACCTTCACTTCAGAAACAAAGTCGCTCATCATCTTCAAGAGCCTCCGTGGCTCTGCCCCTACTTAACTCTCTGAACTCATTATCCACTACCCTTTACCAGCTTCTGTTCGAGATTAATACTGCCGTGCCAAATGTAAGAATTTACTGGGAGTGTCTCCGTCTCATGATCTAATAACTCCACTTGCAAAGTTGCGATGTAATTGCTGATTAAAATTATCCAATATATTTTCTAAACAAGAAAAGGCTCAGAATAATAATATTGTTCCACGTGGAAAGTCACTAATTGCAACATTTAGGCTTACCAGACATGTTGAGACATGTCTCAAGTCGATAACGTTTCTCCCCCACTTGTAATTAAATACATTCTCTCAATTAGGCATCGTGATTTGATTAAAACAAATCCGTATTTCTTTCAATTGTGGTGAATGTGCAGTGATGCACTCAGAGACACTAGGAGTAGGAGGCACTATTTTCATCAGCCTTCACAGGTCACAAGAGGTAACTACAACTCTCAGGACAGCTGGCAGACTGCCTGACTGACGACGTCGAGAAGGTGAAGATGTAGACGACGAAGACTCCGGCAGCACGACAGGATCCCACTCCAAGCGACAGCCCCGAGCCTTCGCTCGGGGTCCCCTTTTATCCTCCCGGCGTGGCCTCGCTCAACCCCGGCCACGCCCCCCTTCTAGGACCTACTCGCGGGTTCCCGGGCTTGCCTCACGTGCCCCCTCCCTACATCCCTCTCTCTGACTTATCACGTGACCTGCTGACAGACAGGGCTGCTGCAACTGCAGATCACCTTCTCTGCCAGCAACCCGCGCTATGCTACGTAGTGACCCATTCCATGTCACTACAAATGTAACAAGTTCTCGTGGCAATGAGAGTCATGTGAACCCATATAAGGTAGAGTTTCCCAATATGAAGAGGAATATGTACATTAGAGAATTGCACTATCTCTAAGGAAAAGCATGCATATATATGCTTCGTTGCACACTCTTCAGCTTTCGTTCCATTTTATTTGTCATGCCCGTGTTTTTGACCCATGTCACAGCAGATAATATCCACGGACTTCTTTATGCATAGATTTTTGTGGCTTTTCATTATAATGCGATATTCAGCTTTTAAATAGCACGTCTCCCTCATTATTTTAATTCCCACTTATTACTACGTTGTGGGTTTTCGCAGATTGTGCTGTAGAGCTGTCTGATGTGCTTTCAAGTTGTGCCCCGTGTCTATCGGGCACGATGTCTAACGTTTCAGTCCACGTGTTGGAAGCTTCTTCAAGAACCATTCCCAGCTCAGGCCGACATTTCACTCAGTGTGCTGAGAACTTGTTCAGCAACTGTTCCGCAATAATTTCCAAAAAGAAGCTCTCAGCACGTGGAGCGAAACTTCAGACATCGTGCCAAGTAACATGCGACGCAATCCGAAAACACATCGGAGGACCCTTATTAGTCACCGAGGCTGCACCTCCGATTCGCGCGGTTGGCATTGATACGGTGCGAAAGAAGTTTAACAAACATACACGACCATTCCCACTGTGCGTGCAGGTGTCATGAGCTCAGCGGCCGAGGTCACGCACCGCACTGCGTTCTCACGGCAGCCGTGCCGCTGCATCATCGTAGACTGCGCGCCGCCCTTCGGCACCGACTCTTGCGAGCTGCTGTGCCACTCACTGGACAGCCTCTTTTCTGTCGCGTGCCACCTTGGTGGGCCTTGCCGCATCCCCCTCTTCAGCCTCTACATCGTGCACGATACGTTTGAGTGCCTGCTTCCCTTCGTGGTGAGTGAGCTTGTGATTGCACTGAGACTCGAGTAATTTTTACGTGAATTTTTTTGTCAGCAGACTGCATGATGAACCCTGTGTCCTTAATTATATTCCCCACCATGGCTAACATCGTCCGTGAGTGATATCTGAACTAGTCCCTGGCCCCCCTTCAACACACACCAGCATGGTGAAATATTCTTATAGAACGCCCATGACCCAAGTATGATAGGTCCTGCAGTGGATTGACTGAGACCTGTAAAGTAATGCCTGTCACATGGATTGTTATATTCAGAATAAAGTATTTTATGGGACTCAACACTTTTTTTCAGGCACGTCCCACAATGGGATATTTAGCTCATTATTTTTTTAAGCAGTATTTTATTTTAGTGTGGCGGAAACTTGAGTATCTGTGCATATAGGGGTGCAGCAATTAAAGGTCCTCAGAATGCCACTACCTGGCCAAATTACAGTCTAGTTTGGCACGTCTACTTGATCTGCCAACTCTTCCTTCCATAGCATCACAGCCATGCTCCAATATAATTGGCTTAGATTAGTGGTTAGCCTGCTTGCCTCAGAACATTTGCACATTCCCTCAGTCAATGAACAATCAATAAACATTTTTGTTTAAACCAGGAGATCATGCACTGAGAAAATGGCCATGATTCATGTTTTGGCAGGAATGTGGTTATTATGTATGTTGAACTTATTTAACATCGTATGTAACCAACCGTGTTAAACTGAGGTGCAGGGGAAGAACAACAAACTAAACTAAAAAATCCGTTCTAAAGAAATGAGTTTTTAATCTAGATTTAAAAGTGCATAGCTCCAGAGGCTTCCTAATATCAGAAGGAAGAGCATTCCAGACGGCTGCAGAAGCGCATTTGAAAGCGTGCTATGCAGTGGCCGTCTTTGTCTAATGGCTAGCCAACATTCTCTGTCAGGATGACCAGAGTTTGCATAATGTTTTAATGGTTTGATGTAAAAGCAAGCAAAATGGAATAAACCATCTCTTGCTACAAACCACCTCGCATCCAACATTTACTTCTTTGTGAAGGAGACCAGATAACAGTTCTGGAAATTCTTTACTTCTGTGTATTTTTACAAATTGTACGATTTGCTTTTAAGTTAATGTTATAAAGATCCTGTGGCTTAATGCCCATGAGTAGGAGATTGTGTGGTATTATGAACATTTAAAAATTACCTGGAGCAGCTCATACTGCATTGTTGCATGGCAGTGTGTATATCTTGTGTACAATAACTAACGGTTTTCATATTGAACATTCCTCTCCATCTAAATAATGATGTGAAGGGTACGAAGCTCAGCTCTACAGTAAAGCTGTATTCATCTTAGTTCAGGCACAGCTCTGTGTTTTACGGTGAACTTAACTGACCTGACGTATAAGAGGAACTAAAGGAAAGAAAACAAATGAAACAGAAAAAATGAATGTAAAAAAACAATAACTCACCCTACAGGCAACCTTGGATAACACTGCGCTCAAGAGATGACTCCCAGGGCTCCGTGTCCCGTGAATGGCAATTTGATACAGTACTTATATTCAAACTCATCAATTGTTAAATATTTTCTTCATTACATAAAGAAATAGGTTTTCAAATGAAACGCGCAGTCGCATTTTTGTACAACACTCAAGCTGTGAATAAACTTTAAATATAAACCAATAGGTTTGAAAACGTTTCTTAAAAGGTTTGTGCGTGTGTATGCTTGGAATAATGTGTCCAGAGCACCTGAGTCAGCACCACTGAGACCCTGGGTTTAAATCCACTCAGCCACCTGTGATTGAACCAGGTACTCAAACCGCAAATGGTTGGTCTCAACCAGGTCACCAAATAGTTCGTTAAAAAAACATCCTATCATATAAAAGTTGTCTTTTTCACTTAAATTAGAATCACCCTGCTCTGACAATTAAGTATTTTTTTATTGACAAGCAACAAACACTGTTTACAGGGCATATAAAAGAGTGCTCCAGATATGGTAAAATAAGCCTATGGAAGGAACACAGGGTCGTACACGGATTACTGCAACAGTGCCAAACGTAATTGTCTTCATGCCAGCACAATTGTAATATTATTTGGGAAACAAGGAAATGTGTAAAATCATGTTTTAACAAAAACAAATGAGTACAAAATAGGGTTCAAGTTGAATAGATATTTGAATTATAATAATGCAAACAATTCGCAGATAACATTAAATTACTGACCTGTAGCTTTACTGCCTGAATACTCCTTCAAAGTAATTTATTACCATTGCATCTCAATGGGATTCCTGCTGGTATTTAATAAACGATTGGCCTGACATCCAAGCGGGAACCTGAATAAGTGTTATGTTGAAGCTCACCTGGGTAAATACATCAATATTATTATTCATCATACTTTAAATATAAACTGTTGCTTCTTATACTGTACACATTTCCATAATTCACAAACGAGATCATACATCTTATTTGGCTCTCGTGTTTGCATACACCAAAAAATATACATCTGAGGGAATAGCAGCATCTCCGACTTGCATTGCCTTTACCCATGCTCAAAAATACAGATTTTCCTGGCACAAACTCAAACATCTATAAAAGCATATTATTTCCAAAACCACTGTTCAGCTGGAGGATATACAGTGCTTTCAACATGTCGGCTCTCAAATAAAGAATATGCATCAACATCGTTTATTGTGGCAGTAAAATGCACTTTTCCCCATGCTACTCATGCTAGTCAGACGCGTTAGAATTAAAGATAGCTCATTGGCACATTTGATTAGAATGCACATTTCACGGTCAAATCTTGGTCAGGTGTTGAGTCAGCTCATCTCTCTCGGGTTCGGGGTGATCTTTTTTTATTGTGGGGAGTTTATCAGCAACATGTATATGTTCATGTCAATGTTGGTGAAGCAGTGGCCGACTTCAGGAGTAGCCTGGTGAACATCTGAAATGCTGTGAGTGAATGTTTAAAATCCAGCAGTGCCACGCAATTATAATCTACGCTTGAGATTGGTGAATACAGCCACACTACAGGCTGTTCTTAAACCTCCTTTTGGTGTGTGGGAGATAATCGCATCTGCTGCGCGATATTCTGATGGAATTCAGTGCAGACCATTATTTGGTGCGTAAATTGAAATCAGGTTCTTCTGGGGTCGGCGAATATTTAGAGCGATCATAAAGCGAGTACCACTTCGTGAGAAGTCCTAAGGAGTGATGCCACACCACCATATGAATGTAGAATTCCATCAATGGTTCAACGCTGTAAGCATGAAAGAAGTACCACTGTATATTTGTTTTAATATAAAACCATTTATATTCCATCAAGCATACCAATTTATCATTACTATCCCAAACATCACAAATGTAGTTGTTATCAGTCATTAAATATATTTCAAAGTACTTATAGAGGCAGTGTAAGGGTCTTATTTGGCAAATAAGCTCTGGCTGATGTGTCAGAATTTTAGTTTTCCTATAGCTGACTGTCCAATTATGTCTGCACAATTTAATAGGAATTTTTATCATTCCATATTTGTTGATTTATATTTTTGCCATTAATTTGTTTCTGAATTCCATTTTCATGTAACCACAAAATTGTTGTTTAAGTTCACACATTTGTTTACATGATAGCACAGTCAAAATGCTAATTTGCAATTTAATATCAGGCAAGCTGACCTTATATGATATTGTAGGTTGAGGCTTAAGGTCACATATCATTACAGCTATCCAGAAGATCCAGTATTTATTTAAAATTCATTAAGTAATAATTGAATAGCATGTAACATAACATCTGTTAGGAAAATTACCTATTGACAGAGCTGTCATTGTTTTAAATATTGTTTCTGCCACTAATAAACATTGTACATTTCCTTTCTCGTTGTTATAATGCATCTACATGCATGCTAAATAGGTGCACAGGAGCAGGCAAGACACTTTGAGAAATGCATTTGAATATTATGCATAAACTCAGACTTATTGTCATACTATTCTTACGCTATATTCTTAGGTTTTTTCGGTAAAGTCACGTAGGTAAAACATTAAAATTAATGAAAGTAAAATAAAATAAAAATCACGACGTTTCGGAGGCAACACAAGTCTCCGTCATCAGGTGGGACCGTCACACCTGATGACGGAGATTTGTGTTGCCTCCGAAACGTCGTGATTTTTATTTTATTTTACTTTCATTAATTTTAATGTTTTACCTACGTGACTTTACCGAAAAAACCTAAGAATATGAATCCTTGCAGTCACGAAAGCTTCAAATCTAGAAATATTCTTACGCTTCCAATGTAGGCATTGCTCATAAGAATTATCTGCTTGGGTGGCACTGTTTTTAGAGTGCTCAGCTTACAATATGAAGGGCATAAGTTGATATACTGGTTATTCATTCTTTTAGAGTTCACAGTCAACAGTTGTTGTTCCATGGAGAGACTGACCCCCATCATGGGAATGTGGACTTCACACCACTGGCTCAAGACCGCAAATGGAGATGAGGGCCATCACATTTCTGATTTGAGCATGCAAACACTTTTTGAGAGAGACACTGAACATTAATGTTCATATGTTGAACTTCTTTCGCACCGTACGTAGCCAACCCTGTTGCAAGTAAGCCTAACATTGCTCCACAGTAATACACTTTTTGTGTGACTTGACTCATGGCCTGAAAAAAAATTTGCAGACAAATTGACTTATGACTATTTATTCATAGGCTACCCATTATCTTCTGCAACAACGCGTAATTATTGTTTTTACAATTGTGATGTCTTGCCTGAATGGTCTCATGTAACTTAAGTAAATGGCTCTTACCAATAACATCTGGCAATACAGCAGCATTGGTTTAAAAGTCGTGACTCGCTGATAAGACCCAGAAGGCAAAAACTATTTCAACAAATGCTGCTGTAAAATATTTGTCTCGAAAGGCTGATGAGATGAAAAGATAAATGATGCAGTTAGACATACATTTAATTGTTTATATGTTATCCACGATTGTCTGCAACAGGATTATGGAATATAAGCTCTGTTTCTCGA